ACTTTGAAATCTAGCACCGTATTTCCCAATACGGCAAATACGGTCTGAAATCCGCCCCTGACTTCTCGTTGTTATTAATCAGTCAAAAGTAGAGCGCGCGTTCTGTCTTTGGCGTGCCCCGGATAAACGGGTGCATCGTTTAAACGATGTTTGTCGTCGTAAAATAATCCTTACACGCGTTGTTATATGTTCATCGCTTAATCGGAACAACCGCTTAATAGAGACATTTTCATGGTTTCCGATCTGTTTCTATAAAGCGGGTACCACTGTATAGTTTTGTTTCTTTGTTTTTATTCAAGTCTGGTAGTATATATGCATATAAAATCGAGAACGCTCGAACTGTGCTTCTCTCTTGTCGTTCTCTCTTGTCCGTTCACCTTCTCGTTCTTTCCTTCTCCATGGTTATATCTCACCCTTCTCCTCATCTGCACTTCCTATGATGCACAATATATTGCAGCCCGGACAAACTGACTTTTGCGTATTCACTGCCTAGAAATGCTAAATAAAGCTCGTACATACTCCTGTATACGTTGGTTATTGTTATTATTATTGGATATTACAGAGTGCGTGATAGAATGCGTGTGTGTGCTTTTTGTATACAACTAAGTAATTTTACGCGTTCGTATTATTACAAAAACGATTACAGACGTATAGGTAGGTATGCGTACACCTACTATCTAACAATAATAATATATAATAAATCACATTTTGTTGAAATTATCCACTTAAAAAAAGACAGCACATGCTCTGACTTCGTCTTCTATGAAAAAATCGTTATCCCTTTACTCCCTTAATTCTGGATGCTGCGGCCGAAGGGAAATTTTGAAATCGGATTTTGCCATGCACATTTCCTTCGACCCCTGTCTTTTTTAAGTACGCGTGAGTACGATGTACTGCGAGACTAACTCAGAGTACCTATAGCAGTAATAATGTACCATATAGAATCAACCATCACGAAAAACCAAGAAAATACCAATAATATGCACCATATATAGAATAAACCATCACGAAAAACCAAGAAAATACCAATAATACTTTCATTTAATAATTGGTATTCTATCTATTTCTATCTATCTATGTCTGATATGTCTATCTATTTATATGGTACTTTAAATCTATATCCTACCAGGTTATATTCTCTCGGGAATAAGTGATCTCCCAAATGGTATCGCCTATGACCTCGTTGCACGGTGAAAAGTTAGCCAGGCAAATGGCTGGTTTTCAGCCTCAACTTTTTCACCCCTCAAAGCACAAAATATAACTATACGGCTATAATACGCGTTTTTACAGTCACCCAAACACACATACACACACACAAACGGACGCGCACACGCGGGTATGGTCGCACGCACGCGTGCGCCTGTATTGCAGGCATAAATTCGCATTTTGTGCCTCGAGGAGTGAAAAGTTTCGGCTGAAATACGGCCATTTGGCTGGCAAACTTTTCACCCTGTTCTTGACGCCGTGGGCGATACCATCCACGAGAGGGGAGTAAGGAATAAGTGATTACTTTTATTCACTGTAATAATGTTACTGCCTGACACAGCAGATGAAAGGTCAGCATAAAGAACCGGCAACTGTTTATTATTATTATTAAATCTTTATTGCGTGTAATTCAACTACAAATACATGTACTGAAGGCAGTCTTTTTCATGAAGAAAAAATCTGATAAATGCAATTGTGGCAGTTAAAATAATAAAATTTCTGAATGATACAGTACATTGTGTGATGCATAGTTCTGAGTGATACATGTTACACCAAAGCTTTACATATAGTCACAGGACCGTCACATGAATCTACGTGAATGACAATATGAAACGACTATTGTGTACGTCGGTAATCGGCGAGCTATAACGGCTGTTTAATCTGCTGTCGGCACTCGTGTAAAACAACCATTTTTACTTTATATATGAATCTAAGGTATATATTATGATTCTATAAAAAGCTCAAACTACTCGTCACAGATTGTCCTTGAAATGTCATTGAAAAGTCATTGAAAAAATAATTCACACTTTTGTGGGAACCATGTCAGATGAGAAAGCTCTAATTAAAATGTAAAATGGCTCTTTAGTTTTTTTAATTCGAGAGCGCATATTCGCCGCAGTTACGCCGTATATATACGCACTCACTCACGCACGCACACACGCGCGCGCACGCGCACGCGCACTCACACGCACACGCACACGCATGCACACACGTACACACATATAATTTATACGTGCGCGCGCGTTCGTGGTGTTTGCTCGTAAATACGCATTAGCTTATAGTCAGGTAAGAAAACAATATTTGCACCATGTAAGAATCTCAACTTGCCTACTGCTAGCGGATAAATTCCGCTTCACCCTAATGCGACTTTCACACTATGCTTTCATAAACACATATAAAACGCTTTTTTATTTGGTAATTTTGGTCTCGCGCGGCTAAAAACTCAGCGTGTGCGCGGGGTATGTGAGACTCCTGCTAACCTATATCAACGTACACCAACGTATTGACGAAAAATCTCATACGCTGGCATACGTTAAGGCTATACGCCCTAGTGTGACAGGTCCATTACTCAGTGGCGGCGCATAATAATTAGTCTTTCACGCTATGTTTTGATGAACACATATAAAACACTTTTTTATTACTTGTCATCTGCAGTTTGATACAGTGTGACGTCATATGAATTCGCTACTGCCCAGCTGTGGCAATACATCTACGTACCAGTAAAACACTGCCGTGAGTATACATATAAAATACATGAGAAAAAATGCAACATAACAACACCCAACAAATCGTCGTTGAAATATAGTCTACCCTTACATGAGCCATAACCACAAGTTGCGCGGCTTGTTCACATGGGCGAGTGGTTATGTTTAGAATTTAATTAGGGTAGATCTAGACCAATATTTTCACTATTCAATGACAATACGAATGGGTCACAAACAACACCGTGCTTGAATGTAAAATATTTACGAACAGTATTATTCACGGTACCATCAATTCTGCTGCTCTTCACAATGACGATGCAAGTTGGTTGTGTAACACTTGTTTAACTGCGCAGCTAGTAACTACAAACAGTGAGTTTGTAATGAAACAAATGATCGGTGAACGTGAACTGTAAACATGATGAATATGTACTACAAATAATACACAACTTCACTTTATATCACTCACTCAAACTACTATATTGCAATTATTTATCATTCATATGAATAGAAATGGTACGTTTCCTGTGTGTACAATGTGTAATTTTGCTAGACTATCCCAACTAACGTCATCACTGGTAAATGCGAGATTCAGATCACCATACCATAGATTACCAATATTTAAACACAAAGTTCAAAAAATCAGAGCAGGTATGTCCTACCCCTTCCAAAAATGTTGGGCCCACTAACCTTTGGACTAACTAAACCCAATTGCCACCAATCACACTCCAATCCATTACGCGTGTGATTTCACATGTTCCTGTGTAAATTGCCAAAGATCCATCTATACTCAGTAGGTGTGACACAACACTCCACGTCGTAAGTGTCACCTGCACATCTCTACATCAATAAACGTAATGCGTAGTTATCATGGAAATTGAATTTAGAGAAAAACAGATCAATTCAACGTAAAAAAACCAAAGTAATCCACATAACTGTTTAGGCATTATGATGAGTGCACTTAATCACAAATTTGCAACGAGAATTTTGACACCTACTTCACTGAAGCCATCTGAATTTAAATTATTGTCTCGGGTTTGCTCCCACTAATGAAATTACACCATGATAATTTAGTGGAGCCATATCATCAGGAATAGATGATAAAGATCTATTATTCATAGTCTCGATATTATGATAAATCTTAATTGTCACGCTTTCACACATAACATGCACAAACCACGTACAATGATTAAGATAATCATGCTCAGATTCCACGCTGGCATATTCCTTACCATAAAAACATCAGGAGTAAATAAAAACAAGTGTTGTTGTTTTGTTTTGTTTTTTTTATATTTTTTATTCTGAAAATTTGTTTTTATTCACTCCCGAAAACATGCACAACCGTGTTATACCCACATTTCGTATGGCTGGTGCGATGAATATTAGGATTACCACAGACTAACGGATTCGTTAAATGATCATTCGTTTCAGGCTTTCTTCAGTACAACGTGTTTAAACGGCCATAGATGCGCGCATGCACACATGTTCAGTCTCAGATATACACTACATGTACGGGTGTACTTGGTATGATGGGGTAAATAGCACAGCAAAATTAGACAACTATTTTGCCAAGTGTTTAACTATATCTTCAGCCCAAGGATGGTAACCATAAAGAAATTAATGAATGAATTCGTACGCTTATTCCATGGTTGGTTTTGTCGAAAACAAACTACTTTTTTAAAATTTAGTTGTTAAATTTCTATAATATGCACGTGTACACAATATGGCTTCCATAGTTCACTCGCCTGCCCAGTCTTCTTTGGGCACCTAATTTTATCATTAGTAAGCAAACTTCAAGATGACAAAATGGACAAAACTGTTGCCGCATTGGTGGGTTCCTAAGCTCATGGTGTGCGTGTCTTAAGAAATGCAGAGTAAATATACAATGTCAAACTCTCAAGTACACATGTGCTCCAGATATATAGCACGCACATGCCATTACGCACATTCTTTCTAAGCCCTGCTCAGATATAGCTGACACACATTCTATAAATACCTGGTGGCGCGACTACACGCTATTACTACTTAAACTCTTATTTACATAATAATATATACATGTCGTCAGTCATATAATGAGAGAGCAGCAGTTGGAGAGTGTATGTGCGGCCAGCAAGATTGAAAGTAGAAGACGAAAAGGGAGACCACTGCGTAAGTATATGGACAGTCTGGTGAAGACTGTTGGAGGGGGACATACTGCTGCCGGTCTCTTACAGATCAGTGACGAACGAGGGATTGAACACAGTGGCGATCTGTGGTTGCCGACGTCCAGATGTATATGGCATCCTGATGATGATGATGATGATGATGATGATGATGATGATGATGATGATGATGATGATGATGATGATGATGATGATGATGATGATGATGATGATGATATACATGTGCTGAGATCAAATGCAGCATGACGTCAGTTGTTATTGTTCTCGATACTCTGTGCCGGTCCCACCTCGTCATCGGGAAAACCCTCGCTTTCCGACACCAGGGCACGCTCGAGTATCACGCGACCCTCCTTGTAGCGTTGGTTCTCCTCCGTCGCGAACTCGTATACCCAGCCGAGTTTCGCATCACAGTTTTTACAGGACACGTCTCTGACCATGTGTCTTCCGGTGAGCATCATCCGGTCCTGCACATCGCTGCGAGAAAGAAGAAGAGAAGAGTCATATTAGCTCGAGGCTTCGTGGACGAGAATATCCTGGGTTGCGTTATATGAGAGGATTGCAGGGCTGCTGAGCTATACACCAGTCTTAAATATTATTCATGACCTAGGGGGTCATCGCACGAAAACGAGGCTAAGCTAGGCAATTTTGTAAACAATGGCTGATCAGGCAGGCACGCACAGAGGGGGTACACGCACGTACACGCAGATACACGCACGTACAACAGCGGGTGACACGCCAGGTACCAAGTACATCGCGCGTACACCACGTACACGCAGTACATCTGCAAGTACACCCGGTACACGCTGGGTTCGCCGGGCTCCACACGCACGTACACCGCGGTACACGCAGCGTACACACGCGGTACATGCGCACGTATACGCACGACCGCCGTACACCCGTATACGCAGAACCCGCCTGTACGTGGCACTATCTACCTGCGTGTATCTTTGCGTGTTACGTGCCCGTGTACTCTGCGTGTAGCCCGCGTGCACCGTGCGTGTACCCGCGTGTACGTGCGTGTACCCGGCGTTACGTGCTGTACCCGCGTTGCTACGTGCCGGTTCCGCGTGTACGTTGCGTGTACCCGGCCGTGTACGTGCGTGTAACCCGCGCGTAACGTGCGTCACACCTGCGTGTACGTGCGTGTATCTCCGTGTACCCGCGTGTACGTGCGTGTACCCGCGTGTACGTGCGTGTACCCCTCTGTGCGTGCCTGCCTGAGCAGCCATTGTTACAAAATTGCCTAGCTTAGCCTCGTTTTCGTGCGATGACCCCAGGTCATGAACAATATTTAAGACTGGTGTAGATACAGATATTGATTACCAATAGTATAATGTGTAACCAATCAATTAACTTGCCACACATGACATGATATACTAACTACACTCACACCACGACCACATGCCAACTTGCTTGAGTCAACACCTAATCTAACATCTAAATCACCTGTAGAAGCTTCTAAATGAAGAAAAATTTTCAAGGGCAATTTGGCAGGTTGAGCGAGTGTATTGCAATCCAGTATATACTTGAACGATGGCATGTTACGCGGAACACAACCCATTTAATCAATGCTACCTCTACGTGATGCTGCGGCCGCGCGCCTACGTGTGTCCCAGGTGAGTGTCTCACTGACTTGGACCACACTGCTTAGCGCGGGCTAAATTTGTACGGGCTAACTTAGCACGCTTCTAAGTTCTAAGCTGGCCTGGCCCACCTCCATTTGCGGGGCTAACTTAGACCGGACTAGCGTGTATTTAGCGCGGAATAGCGTGTACACGCTGCACAAATTTAGAGCACGTCAGGCCCAGACTAGTTTGACGTGGGATCAAATTTGCAGTCTGTACGGGGTAACTGCAAACGCTCACCTCAGATTGATGTTGACGACCTTGTTGAAGAGGAACGCGCGGCCAGTGGCGCCGGTGAATCTCGTTGAGATCAATTCAGCGCGGTTGGTGAGCGCGCTCTCGCAACTCGCGCAGCTGAAGATTCTGCTTCCGCCGAGATGTTCGAGAAAGATGCGCCCCATGTCATCCGAGCGGCCGACGGAGGGGGGTGTACGTTATGCAATGCCCTCTGGTAGACCCGTCACTCGTCGAATGCGCGTCGCAAACAAGTGGCGGCCGACGTTAGCAGGCGAGCTTATACGCTCTGTGCGCGTTCACAGAGTTTCACGATCGGTTCGGAGCTTGAATTGCCATCCTTACACGCAGACCTGTGAAAAAAATATTATTCAGTTTTTAAATGACAAATCAATATTTAAGGTCACAATTAGCTATTGGCAGTATCTAAGTACACGACTGAAAATTTTGCTCCTCTGCTCTACTCACGGTCTTTGTCTCCACCTCTATCTACATTGCTATCATATATCTAAGTGTCCCGGTCTCTTTCTGTTCTGCAGTATGTTTGCTTGGTTTCCTTTATCGCACACATCACACGTGTGCCTACCTACATTAATTACAAAGATGCATGACCCTGTAACGTGATGTAATTACGCGCCACATAGCTAGAACGTTGATACTGTAGTAGTCGTCTATCTAGTACTTATATATGTAGAAGGTGTGCAACGAAAGGTGACTGTGTCCTGTAGCCTGCATGGAGTACCTGAATGTTACTTATACTGACGTCATTGCCATTTCCGATTTCGTAGATTTGATATTGGTACTAGCTGGCCACTGGAAAAAATAATCAGTATGCAAACACGTGAGTGTTTTGAAATGTTTTAAACACACCTAGACACCCACTATATCCTAGGATACTGGGAAACGCAAGGATGTTGTACTCACGTCTTTGGCATAGATAATATGTTAGATGTTTTCCGTACACTCTAAACATCGGGTACACTGAAACAAACACATAACAACACAGGGATGAAGCAACATTTTCCGGACACATTTAATCGGTATTTATTAAAACCTCGAGTAGAATAACCTGGTGGTTTCCTATGTATTTCTTTAATATACTCGCATACATATACACACATATATTAATAAGTAGATGATTTATTCCTCACTGCTCCTTAGAGTATGTAAAAGACCTATGAAAAGACGAATAAAATTTTGTGTTAGGGTCTATCGGTTATATGTGCCTGGTAAATTTACTACGTGATCACGTGTCAGTGTTTATTTACGTACACAGCTGACTTGATACATTATCAGCTCAGCTCGCATCGCAAATAGCAACTGCGCATTGTATGAAAGTGGGAGAATTTCTGCATGCTTACACGCAGTAGCTATTAAATATAGTAACTCCGGAGGCATAAAACCATAGCGGCATATGCATGCGCACTGGGGAAACACGATGCAGTGAAGCAGTGGTGTAGCAAATACTTGAAATAGGGCCATGGCCCCCACCCCTGTTGATCCGAAAGTTGAAAAAAATCAAAAAATTGAATTGTTCTACTAAAAAGAGAATTGTCGTAGTCAGAATGAAGGCTGTACGTGTACTCAAAAGTGCCTCAAATACCATCTCCTGCGATCTACATTTTCAAAAATATCCTGGGAGAGGTACCACATACCCCCCCGCCTGTTTTCAGCCCCGGCCTCCTTGAAATCCTGAACAGTTACATATCTTGGGAGCAGAGAACAACGAACAAAAATGTCGCCTTCTTAATTTGCAAGCACCCAAAACAAAGATTGCAGAGCTGAGAGGTGGGGAGCGTAGTGTGTGGAAAGGGAGGCGGAGGAACCATTAAAATTCCACTATTTTGCGCAGTTCGTTTTTTTGGCCCCTATGTTAAAAATTCCTGGCTATGCCACTGAAGTAAAGGGATTGAAGGAGAGTACGTTAGGGGTAATGTATAGGAAGATAAGCCTTGAATTAGGCCATAATAAAAATATTGTTTGTTTGCCCTCACCCGACCGACCCGCCAAAAACGGGGTTGGCTCAACATTTTTTAGTGATCTTTCCCATTCTTTTTTTCCTTTTTTTCCAAATTGTATCACTGTACATTATATAAATATGTCGGCAATACATTATATGTACCAAGCAAAACAAACATAAAAGGTATCTCCACACAAGCACACCCGAGCATGTAGGCACCATGCTGAATTTGTAAAAAGCCCACCCTCAAAAAAAGAAGCCTACCTACCCAAACTTTTCAGCCTGGGTCGGGTAAGGGCAAACAAATATTTTTTTAATTGTGGCTTTAGTGGGAGAGGAAATGAGGATAACAGACGAGATATTTGAAGTTGTGCGATGGCAATAGAATTGCTATGAAGTACGTAGAAATGGAGACGGGGAGGGAGAATGGAGTGTATATGTGTGGTAGGTATATGGGGCGAGTGCGGAAAAGATATCTCTCTCCCTCTCTCTCTCGCTATATATATATATATATATATGCCAACTGTATGCATCAAGTCACCTGGACAAACTCATTCTTAATTACCACCTCATGCCAACTGTCAAGTTAACATAAAAACAGGAAAAGAATGAAATACAGGTTCTTCAATACTTTTTTCAAATTGACAATATATATTACAATTCATTTGTTAGTCAACAATATATATAATACTGTAATCAGAATAAAGAGTCACTACTAAAATTCTTTCCCAAATGGTTCCCATGCAGCCAGATCATGTTCTGGAATAAGTTATAAAAAATCACAAATCCTTGCAGTTCACCAATGTTCACATTATAAATTAATCACATTCCATGAAGAATCGTCGTACACCTCACGGTTGTCACGCGATAGCAATCACGTCGTCGCCGACCCATCACCGCTACTCATAAACTTCTGTCCAGGTGGCAGCACTTGCCTCACGTTAATATTGATTCTCGCCGATGCAATGTACTTCCCGAACGCTTCGTCAGCTGCAGTGCAATCGTGATAGAGATCGGCGACGTGACAGTTATCCGTCGGGAGAATACGCGGCACGGCGTGATAGGCTGATCTTGAGGCTCCCGCCATGACAGCGACATCGCCGCTACGAAGGATTATCGGTACCGGTGGCACAGCTTTTGTGCTGCCACCTAGCAGGAAGATGGCACTCTGTCCAAAGCTAGAACAGACGTGAAGTTGAAAGTTATGTTTCTCGGTTGAAAAGAGTAGAAAAAATACCCCTTCATGCATTCGCATGTACGCAAAATATATTATATGAAATCTAGATACACAATTAGATTTACTTAACAATTATACACATTCAATAAGTAACTGAAAGAGAAACTGAACATCAACCCACTGTGTATAACCATTGACTGCATAAACATTATCACTGTTTAAAAGAAAATATGTCAGTCTGATATACAACAATGACATTTTGCTGTATAATGCGTGATAATGAACATCTCTGTACAATCGTAGAGATGCGTTCACGGTCTGACATATACCTGAAAGATATGATCGGTTCTTCCATGTGAATCTCCGAATGGTCCGTATGTCCAGAGAGACTCGAGTGCATGTGATAGAAGTTTACGATGGCCGCCTGTGCTTCAAACTTATCATGGCCTGTAGCTGTAGCCACTGCTTTTGAAAGCCGTGATAGGTTTGGTGGAAATTCTGTTCGCATGCTTTCAGAATATACCTAGAAATTAGTACAAATATTGTTACTAATAAAATATACACTACACAAGTTATTTCATTCATCAAATAATTGACCTACAATTAAATTGCATGCTGTTTTTTCCTTGCATAATAATCACACATATATTCTAACTACCGATAGCATATGAGCGAATGAATAATTCATGAACGAACAATTATTGGCTATGCTACCTTGGTATCCCAGTTGTGATGATAGCCAAGAGTAACCCATCTTAGTCTATCAATCAAGTCTTTCGAAGAGTTGTTCTGGTGTGTATCTCTGTAAGAGATGTGGAAATATCATGTGAAGAAATAGAAAACTATAAACACCGGACACACACAGAAATTAGGAATCTATAATACATTAGTATAAATATAATAACTAAATATAAAGTTGAAATATAGTCAAACCAGTAAATTATGGTCACTTAACAGAAAAAAGGCGACATTTTTGTTCGTTGTTCTCTGCTTGCAAGATATGTAACAGTCCTTAATATGAAGGTAATTTTGAATTTTCACTAGGCGAGTGACAATGTTTATTACGTAACAGTTTTGTGTCATTTAAAGTAACTATTGCAAGAGTTTTCTAGTGTTTTCACCACTTTCATGACACCTACCGTTATTGCTTGAGTAACAGCAATTGTCTAGAGTAACAATAAAACGTCTTAGAACCTTCAAATTTACCAAAAAAAGTGCCAGTTTCGAACTACTAGTTTTTGTAAACATTTGTTTCCTGTCATCTTGGCTGGCCTGTGAACTAGCTGGAAGTATGGATTAGCTTGTGGCGTAGACATAGCACAGGCACTCTCAAATCATGCACTTGTTTTCAATTCATCACCGACACAAATACAAGTTTACCAATTCTGCTATTAGGCATTATCAGCATACAATAAAATTTATTGCTGTTACGATGTGGTCAAATCCATTTTTCTATGCTATAACTGCATAAAATCTTAGCATTTTTAATGTTGGTGTAATCGGTGATAATTCCGCTGTCAGGTGAGACTATATTCAGCTATATTTAGTTTTTCTGAGCAAAAATCTTGCAATAGTTTGTTTAAGTATGTGTATAATATATAATTTATTTCTAATGGAGCTTACACATAGCTGCTTCTTGTCCACATATTATCAATGCTGTTTGGTGCCACGTGTGCATCTAAATTTGATATATTAGGCTTACACGGGTAGTATCTTAAACACTGCTGAATCCAATACCTCTGCCCGGCTGGAGTGAATGGATTTTTTATAAATATGAACCCTATAAACAAACAAAAAACATGTCATAAAAATGTACCTCGAAATAACAGTTCTGTAAAATTAGTGCTTCCAGGCTTTATTACATTTGCATTTAGGTTCTTTTGTTTTATATAGAAAAACACCATTATAACCAGGTGAGAACATTTCCTGCCACAATGACTGAATGTTATTTATATGCCCAGCTGTGGGGTTTTAAAGCTATGCAACATACCATATTATGGTTTTAAACAGACGTGAACACAAGTTACTCACAGTTAATTGACACACAGTGTTGGTGTCAGTCCACACCAAAACGTTGCATTCACATGAGTCTTTACCATCATGACTTACATAGATGTTATTTATACCTTTATATATAAATATACCACTAGCTAGGGTTTCTGTCAGGTCTTCGGAAATTTCTGCGGAGAACCCTGTCCTAGAAGTTATATTTCTAGTATTGCTTTTTGCAAGATAATTACCAGGACATGCAGAAACATTGTATGCTTCCCACTCGCAGATTGGCTTCATCGTATCTTCAGGTGATATGACTTTATCCATATTGTCTTTCAAGTTGACAGTGGAAATCTGAAAAATTACATGGGTAGAAATAGGGTTATTATTTGTCGTGCTCCGACCACCTTCATAATTGTAAATTGTGATGATTCTCTCAAGTTTTACATCCACATTACTCAATTTACTGTACATGCAGTGACAGTGTACTGGAGTGGAGATAGGCCCGTCTGTTTACGTGGTTGGGATTCACAGTTCCAAATATTGGTGTGGGTAAAGGGGGAGGGCGATGCTCACTTTATCATGATGACGTGTGTTATCAACTTCATTGAAGTCAATAACGTCAGACAAGTCAATGATTTTATTCCGACTCTTGTAGAATTTAAACACATTTTTGAAGACATCAACATCTTGAACACTATCTTGATCTGACATCACAGAAGAACAAGTCCTGACAGAAGAATTCGTCGGATCGATTCACTGATCCCTATATACTAACAATAACATATAGATATCACAGAAAATATTTAGAGACAGTTAGTACATAGAGATAGTAAATAGTGATCAGTGGGAACATTCTCATGATTCTGTCTGAGGGGGCTGACATCTTTAACAAGTAGGATGACGCGATAACTAAAATTAAAAAATAATTTATGAAAAAAACGTTTATTTAGATTTATAACTATCACATATAAAGAATATTAAAATATATGTTTATATCTGTAATAACATTATACTATAAATAAAATAAACATATAATACCGAACGAGATATTACATATCACATCAAATTGTCCGAATGACCACGTGATTAGCAAAGGGCAAACATGGCCGCCTCCAGTGCAGCTCAAGCCGTCAATAGAGCAGTTCAAAAACTATTTATTGGGAATATTCCATGGACTGTTGGGAGACGTAAGTATTAGTAACTACATGGGTTGTCTGCTATTCATATTTTAGGTAAGAGTGTTACCGGGGACACACATCAGCGGGCTGCATTTATCATAATGTATTTCCAAATTCCATGTCACACACTGACACTGTCATGACCAGGCACAGGCACTTGGAACGTCTCAATAAAAAAAAGGTAAATAAACACGAAATGTATTTACTACCAATTAAAGTCTTAATGTTTCTCTACTCTATTTCGCCTATAATCACCTGTAAATGTCAGTCAAATGCTTATCTGCAACACGCAAGTACACCGCATGCCCGCGCTGTGCACAAACAACATGAATAAGACAGAGCAGGTAGGAAAGCATGATCGCAAAATTCGCTCGACGCTCGCTTCATTTCACACGATCACAGAACGAAAACACATCCAATGGCTTTCATCTTGGTATCTATGTGTACATAAATGTTCACTTGTTTGAATTATAACTCTGGCCTTTGTTCTTACCTACTCCCGCCAGCAATATCTCGTGAAATCCTGCAGGAAATGTTCTCTCCAGGAAAATGTAAAGAGGACGTATCATCCGAAAATCCCTAACGGCGCTACTTTCGATCGATCGCTGTAGTTGTGTGTGCGTGACGTCATACCCGCACGCATTGTGCTTGGCTTGGCGGGCCTTGAAACGGAGCTCGGAGGCCGGCTTACATTTTCACGGAGAGAACATTTCCTGCAGGATTTCACGAGATATTGCTGGCGGGAGTAGGTAAGAACAAAGGCCAGA